TGTGTATGTGAGTGTGTCTGTGTGTGTATGTGCGTGCGTGCGGGAGAGAGAGCGGGAAAGAAAGAGAGAGAGAGAGAGAGAGAGAGAGAGAGAGAGAGAGAGAGATAGAGAGAGGGATTATGTATAGAGAGAAAGAGAGAATGGGAGAGAAAGGGGAGAGAGCGAGACAGAGAGGAAGAGCCACTTATTAGGCCTACCTTTCTGCTATGATGTCAAGCCATCCATCATAATGAGTGAGAATAGAATACAAAATACTGGATAATTCCTTTGAACACGAAAGGTCTTTGTAGAAAAGCGAAACTCCAAAACAGTTTTCAAAACGCGGGGAGATCTTGTTGTTTCGCTAAGAATGAACTTGAGAACACATTCGCAGCGTAAAGACCACCAAGATCAGTTTAAAAAACTCCTTCACGATGATAAAAAAATGAGAATAAATGTCCAATCCTTACATTGTCATGTAGCCTAGACAGGGCTCATGAGAGTCGAATAACAGAATAGGGTCCATCAAATCAAAGATAGCAGTAGGGTCTTAAGTACGATCCATGCACCGAGCAAACATTAAAATTTCACGTAAAATGTAAACACAGATCCACCGAAGGAACACACCGCGCGACTTTCTTCTCTGTTTACACACGCATCACTGTGCGTGCACCACACCGCACCACCTTTCTGTCTTTCAGTTCCCAGCCCGTTCAAAAGGCGCGTTGGCCGTTCTCTATAACATCTATATCTATAGATAGATCTACGATAGGTACGTTCTCATGCATGCGTGCAGCTAGCTCCAACTACAACGCCTTATTTGTTTTGGGCGGAGCCCTTTCGTTCTCACATTTATAATATAGGCCTATTTCAAGTTTCGGCTTCCCTCGTTATGGGAACTGAACTGGCTAGGCAGGGAAGGCCGAGTAATCGGGGTTGCCACCAGGCCAAGCCAATTCACAGAACAGTTAGCAGGAGCAGGGTGGAAGGAAGAGAAGGAAGGAAAAAGAAAAATAACTTTAAAAAAAACAAAAATCAGCTACACTCACATGAAAGCCGGATACGGTTGGAAGCAAAAAACGCCAAAAATGTTCGCGCGGCAAATTTAGCTACTGGGACGGATATGGGAACAATGAAGTGGCCTCGTGGTTTACTAAACTCTGTTTTAAAAAAAAAAAGTGTAAACAGAAAAGTTGAAAACGAACATCGAAACAAATATTCCCCAACTTAAAATGAAATAAAAGATATCCACAAACTGAAGTACAGTAGGCCTACCTCGTTCCACTTTTTTTTCATACACAGATCTATGTCTAGTAGAGGGTATTTCGTCGAGCTCTGATAATAATAAACGTGGTGTCTTAAAGATGGAAGCGAGCAATCCAAAATATCCGGACCAGCAGCGCGTCAAAAGTTTCTCATAGGCTCAAGTTTTCCCAAGTGTTCTCGTTATGGGTTGGGGGCGGGGTCAGGCGGGCGGGGGCTGGCGGGGTCATCACACATCTGTCGTTTGGGGGAACCGGGCGGTGTACGCGGAGGGAAAGGACCACCGGTTCAAAATTACGCACAATTTTAACACTTGTTGATTGCTGTCGTCTTTCTTCTTCCTCCTTCTCCTCTTTCTCCTCTTTTTCCTTCCTCCTTCTCCTCTTCCTCCTCCTCCTTTCTCCTCCTTCCTCCTCTTTTCTCCTCCTTTCTCCTCCTTTCTCCTCCTTTCTCCTCCATCACCTCCTCCCAATTCTCCACCTCGTCCTCATTCTCTTTCTCCTCCTTTTTCCCCACCTCCTTCTCCTCTTCTCCCTCGGTTTCATCATAATCGTCGTAGTATTTATAGTATAGTGATGATGGTGGTAGCCTGGTAGCAATAGCGGCGCTAGCAGTATTACATTACAATACTAGGCCAGATTGGCTGCTAGTCCAAAACATCGTAACATAAGTCAATATGCCTACAATGTATTCCCCTTGTCGCTGTACACAATAATATAGGCGAAGCTTGCGAAACCTCATTGTTGGTTATGCTCAAGAAAAAACAAAAACAAATAAAAAGTCAAAACCAAAAAAAGGCAGCTCTTCCCTATTCTAGACCCTATCCTCAAAGACCAATCCGCCTCATCAACGAATCAAAACTTCCCCAAGAGACACAATGTTAGCTCTTATTCGATCCTAGGCCCAAACTAAATCTGAAAATACTAGAAGGACTTTATGC